GTACAAGGGCACGGAGCTCATGTGGGTCAGTGACATCATAGGTGGAGCTCAGTAGGATTATAGATATTCCACGTAGCTTAGTCAGCCTATGGGCCACAGTGTATATATACCCTGCAGCTCTGCTGCCTAATGACAAGGGTCGTTCATACGAGCTTTACCAGTAGCTACAGCATCCACTCAATACAGGTGAGTTGTGTAGGGCGCACTGTGCGTGCTGCTGCCTCCATAACTCTTCATCACTCATACCCTGGGTCTGTATTATCTGTAGAAGCTGCCATAAAATTAAAAGGATAGCCTTCAGAATACCTCTTAACTGCTTTGATTAGAGCATCAATCTTATCTGCCTTCTTGGTTACTTTTGACTTGATAGGCACCAGCCTCTTGTCCTTAGCTATCCCTGCCTTGATCTCCATTTGCCGGTGCTTCCAGAAGGGACATGTTCTATCAAAACACGCCGAAAATGTGTTACCTTGCAACTAGCAAGGTCTCTGCTTGTCGGGAATTCAGCCATCAAAACTGTATTTGTTTATATCCATTTGTAGCATGTGCATTGTTTTGCACTTCTATCACTGCCATTGGATTCAGTATCTTTGCTCTTGTCTCTGGAAGTCTCTCACTGCCTTAGTGTTGCCAGGCACTGGCAAGGATGCCAGACATTGAGAATTCAATCATTGATACTTATTTGATTTGTGATTGTTTGTGGCAACGCATCCAGAGGAATGCTCATGCTCCTTGCTACCATTTTATGCTTCAAACAGCTTGAAATCTTTGACGTTAGGATGGTATGATGTTACAGTGCCTTGCATAAGAAACTGAACATCACATTTCTGCATGCATTGTTTGCCCGCGCCAAATATACCCTTTTTGGGTATCGGCAATTGTGCGGCAAAGACCCATTGAGAGGGAGGGTAGCTAGGCATACAGCTGGGGGCAGAGTATAATAATTTACAGCCCTTAGTGTAGTTTTAGAATATACATTTCATGCATTCTCTGAAGCCTTTCGAGCCCTCTCCGGGCGTCTGCGAGTCCTTGCCCAGCAAATGGTCTCGCGAGAGGCCTTCCAGACCTACCTGAAAAGGGTATATTTGGCACGAACAAACAACGCGGGTGGAAATGCGATGTTCAGTTTCTTATGCAAGGCACTGTTGTACTATAGACATGCAGAGAACGAGGACCGAAGCAAGAGTCAAGTCGCAAGGTATACGGCCGGCGATAGCCGGCGCTTCTCGAGTATGAAGTGTCTCCGATCTGATCACTTCTATGACTTTCTTCCAAGTTCCTCGGAGTCCTCATGACTGCCGCTCAGGCCTCAGGAGCCACTCCTTTGATCGTGTGTCTTCAGCTAGCAGCTCTCGAGGCTGCGCTCTAATGGAATAATGTACTGGTCGTTGACATTCTAACGAATTACTTCTCTCAATTCTAGAATGTAGGGGCATCCGATTGCTCAAATCAGTCGGGCGTCCGAACTGAGTCAAAACCTCGTTGTCCGTCACGTTGTACAGGACACAACGTGTTCCATGGTAATCCGACTGTATCGATCGTCTTCGTCTACATAGCATATCGTAATGCTGCAGCAAGTCCCCCACATGTCAGCCTTCCGAGGATTCCTGGACCATTGGCCGTGCGAGCAAACTATAAGAAAGGATGGGAGAGCGCATGCCCAGGCGTCAAATCGTTCCTTGTCTCCCCCCTCCAACCATTCTTGTGCCAGCAGCGAGCTTGAGCTATGGAACAGATCAACGAGACGGCAAATGCTGTTTCCTCGTACAGGATACGTCTCGATTCTCACGGGAAACTCACGACCTCCGATGAATCTGGATCTTTCAGTCCATTGTTCTCTCCAGTTTCGTCCTTGGGCTGGCGATTGGGCGTTATGCCACGCTCGGTGGCGGCAAAGGGCAAAAAGATGAAGTTCCATAAGAAACTCTCACGCTACCCCGAGGAAAACTACCTAGACGTTTATTTCGATCCGTCTGGGGTGGACATCTCGCTTGGCCCACTTACGATTGAGATCGATGTAAGCGTCGAGGGTGGGATGTCCTCCTACCCATCTCCCAGTACACCGTCTTGGACCAGGGTCGAGTCGGAAGCGCAGGTAGCTCTTCCGAGTTGCACGGTCGAGGTCGGGTCCTGGCGTATGGACGGATGTGATCCCAACGCGCTCATCACCGTCAGGTGCACGGTGACGCTTGGGGCTCTGTCGACCGCTTCTATCACTGGCATGAAGCAACCTGCAATCGTCTCGCGATTTCAGAGTGGCTTGGAGAGCTCTATCCACACCGGTAACTTCATCGATACCAGGTTTTTCGTGTTCTCTCGACGCGACCGTTCGGGGAAGGTATGCAGGCCCATGCCTGTCTTTGCAAACAGCTTATCATTGGTTGAGCGCGCACCTTACTTCGACACCCGTATGCCATCATTTAATACAGGTGAAGGGCCCATATCCTGATGCCACTCCTTTCTTTAGTCTTGTCGGCCGACGGGTTTTCAGAATCAGTTGAAGGAATATTAGGCTCACAATTTCCAGCTAACGAGCAGCCTTCTACCGACAATTACGACTATGAGTCAGATAGTGACTTGGAGGATGATCTAGAAGAAGACGGTCCGGAGAAATCCGACGCGGCAGCTGTAGAAGGAGAAGGTCCTGTCGATGGCGATATGGGTCAAGTGAACGGCAAAACTGGCCTTGACAAGGAGTTCGAGAATTTATTGGAGCAGGACACGAGTAGAGCGTGGGTCCTCCTCACTAGATCGTTGAAGCCGACTAAAATGTTCTTCTTGGGCATGAAGCTCCGACTCCTGTACCAAAACTGTGGACATCCCAGGAAGGGTACACGGATTGCACGGACCACTAGGCCGTACCATCGTCGTAAAGGATACCGCACTTCGCACGTATGTGTCGTAAACATCTCATTGGCTGGTATACTCATCCTTCTGCAGTTTCACCGCCTTGTTGCGCTATTTCTATGTCGGTGATATCAACTTCGCGCCTCTTAAGTCACAGCACGTCGAGGTCATTCAGGATATCAATAAGTCCTTGAACGAAACCCACCCATCCTGCTCGCCGAAGTCGATGTATCGCTTGGCAGACAAGGTGAGAATCTATATAACGATACAAAGGCGTTAAGGCTGAGTGCTTGAAAGCTCGATCTGCAGGATCTCAAGAACAAATCTTTCGAAGCTCTCCGGTGTAGGCTATCTAAAGATAACATCGTGGAGGAAGCTTTCTCGAAGTTCACATGGACGTACGTTCACTCACTAATTTTTCCGTCGGTAAGTCACATAATCGCCTTTACGACAGATACGACGAAGTGCGTGATATGGAGGTGGAGGCACTCTGCAAGTTCTGCAAGTCCGCTGACGGCGATGAAGTGATGGATAAGGTGAAACAGTTCATGTCGACGGCGCCGGTGGAGGATTTCAGGCGTTCGATGGAGCTAGTATCCCTGCTCCTCCCGTTGCTGGTTCAGAGGGAAGGAACGGCGACTCTTCCGACGTCATCACTTCTTCATCCGGTTCCTACATCGCCATTTTGATATCCTCCACCGTCGCTCCTTGTTCATGCCTGTCTTTCTCGACATATCGCGTATCAGTCTCGGGGACCGCAGTACTATGCAGTGTTTGCACTGTATTACTACGCCGATACTTCGGCAGTGCTTGCCAATCTTTGCTATTGAATCGACAAAATTTGCACCGTGACCACGAGCAGATTGAGCGCAGCTTCGGTCTTAGGTCACGGGTCATCACAGTATTGAGTTAACCTCAGGTTAAGCTTGTTCCTATGTGCTGCAGCGTGTTGTGGCGGACTTCTTCCGCGCCCGTGCCTCATATTCACCATGTTCAGTGAGGCATTCGCAGCAACCCCTACTTCGTGCAACGGCCATGGAATCGACCTATTATACAGTGACGCTTACCTGCCTCACCTCCTTGTACAAAATACACATGAACGCAAACGGTGTATTGGCTAGTTCTCAAAGCTCCTCTACCCCCGTATTCTCGAATATCGGTCCCCTGGGCTGGAGTTAGGAGTCACCACTAGCACCAGCATAGAGGGTCAGAAGCGCCAATCAGTTTGAAGACGCAGACTCAGAGAAAGTGCAATCCTCCCTACAAAGTTAAGGACGCGAGTCGCTATAAATGGAAGGTCGAGACACTGTGCGGCAACCCCGCAGCGTCGCGAGGGACTTCGTCTGAAGTCTGGCGACTCCCTTCGGAATGGGAATCCTAAGGCGGTGAGGAGGTTGTGTACTCACTGCAATTCATTCGTACACCGGTAACACCACCTCCCATGATCATGAGAAGTTGAATGGTTTTGTATATCAGTACACATGTAGTTTTAATTTTTTGAAACTGAACCCCAAAGTATAATACCAAGTGAAGGCTTTGTGTATAGATTGGCCCTTGTCCGGACTCAAAGTGCCACAATGTCATCAATATCGGCGCCTTGCAATGACTGCATGATGAGACAGAGAACAAAAGGAAATTTCCAAGTCGCGTTACGGAGTGAAGACAACTAGAATCATCACAAGTGAAAAATATTGTCCGTGGTTGGGATTGAACCTCCAGCTCACAGCATTGCATCTGAAATAACCCATCACACTAACCGCTGCACTAGCCGCACACTAGCAATGTTCAAAAATAAGATAATATGTTAGTTGGGCAACCGTCTGGGCGCATCCGCTGCAATGGCTCCGCGTCCACTTTGCTGCGCGACTCGCTTACATAATCTGCGTCCTCAACTTTGTAGGGAGGATTGCATTTCGTGCAGACTCAGCATCAATCCAGCACATCAGGAAAACCCTCCCGAGCAGATTAGGCATGATCATGCATGATCATGTCTTATTAGATGCATTATCCCATTATGCAGGATTATACGAGTTAGGGTTGTCCCTCGTCTCATTCATACTTATTATATGCCAATTAGTTCGATCAGGCAAATATTCATGCACATTGAGACAGATTATAAGGCAATCTTTGCCCTGCTATAACATGCTTTGCAATCTACAGACATGCATATATATATACGTATCAATCTAAGCCCGACAGATCCATCAGCGACAACGCATTCGGCTGCTGCGCATCTATAGCTATGCCATTACGGGTTGATGTCCTGCATGACGTAGGTCGGTGTAAGTCAAGAGCATGCAAATACAACTCACATCGCCTGGTCATAGAGATAGTGCATGGTCTCGTGATAAAACCGCGGCCCCGATTCACGTACACTTCTCAACATCGACTTATGTATATCATAAGTCTCGGCCCAATTGTTGCTGGAGAAGTCTTCAGGCACATGCGTGCCTGTGCGCCACTCGTCGATGCATGCGTGGATCTATGATGAGGTTCGTAAATAGGCCGTAACGCCTACAATGAAGACACTCACCGCAGTACAGACCAATGCCACCATCCCCTCAGGTACTTCACGCTCGTCCTCGCGGTCCTTGAAGCTCGAAACAAACAATGACGGGTGAGTGAGCGCAAAGTTGTTCTTGCCCGTGAAGAATGCCTGCCGCATGATTGCTACGACAGCATCTTGACGCCAGGGAAGCTTGTAGTTGACACGGCTCGGGGTCGACTGCATAAGATGTAGTTACATGGAGAGCAAAGGCAACGAAGTCGGGGAAAGACGTACCTTATGATCACCAGCAAAGACGTAACGTTGAGCATCCAACAAGTTCTCGATGTAGGTCTTGCTATCTTGTTTCAGTCCATAGTGGCCGACGCAATGGCCAGAGGCGATCCCCTTGACATCACGCCTTATGCCGCTGATTCGGCCGTCAGCCTACAGAAAATAGCAATTAGTAGAATTATACGCTGAAGAGCAGGATACATACAATGTCGGCAACTGCCTTACGGAAGACCACCTGCGTCTCATCCCGCAGTCGAACCAAGATTGGCTTGTAGTGGGGCCCAAGATCCTCGGCTGCTCTTATGCATGCTTTGAGAGCGACTTGATTCCGCTTACCAATATCAGGGTAAGAATGTTCGGTGATGATTTGAATGTGTATTCGGTCGATTCCTCCCCGTGCGATAGCCTGGATCTCCACCGTCTGGGCTGTGAGATTTAGCTTACCGCGACTATTGAAGGTCAACGCAGTCATGACGCGTGCACTGTCTGACTCATCGGAATCTGTATGGTAGTCTTGAGCCCGTTGAGCGCGTATCACGCTTTTCTTCGAAGAGGATTTCCTTTGCTCCACATCGTGCTCGATGTCGAGGTCAGAGGGTTCATCCCAGACAGGCGCCTCGGGGCCAAGATGAGCACGAACTCGAAAGCTCAACAAGACTCTTGCGTACCTCGGCCTCATGTGCGCGCTCATACTTGGACTTCAGTTTCTTAGCTGGTTTCCCCCGATACGTGAATGCTGTTTGACTAGACAGTTCTGGGTTTTTTTCCAAATCCTCAAGCACGAATGTCAGCGACAGGCTCGGACAATGAAGGTGGAGCCAACATACCTTGCGAGGCTGAGGCTTGGACTTGCCACCAGCCCTGTCCGTAACGTGATCATCTGTGTTGAAAAGGTCGATCGCGTTGGGGGCCTTAGGTATATGCTTCAACTTCGCGGGTTTCACAGACTTGTAGTCAAGGGTTTGACCAGCGTGGCCGCCTGAGCCAAGGGAATGCACCGAAGGGTGATGGGTCATGGCAGATGGAACCTCATCGTTAGGATCGTCGACATCGGGTACGCTGACGATGCTCGAATTGAAAGAGGATGCACTAGACTTGCGATGCATCTTGGGTGGCGCATGCAGAACCGGATCATAGTCGTCGTCGCTGGGATATTCAGCGCCATGGAATAAAGGAGCCTGCTCAACAGCGTTCTTAGGTGCCATAACTGCGATGCATTGACTACTCACTTCGGACTCTAGTGCTGCAGCTAGTGAACCCGCCGGCAACCGCATAAGTCGCTCATCGTCAGATTCAACTGCATTCGCCTCATGGTCTTCGATGTCCTCATCGCCTTCAACATCATCAGCGTCCGACGGGGCTTCTGACTCGGCAGAATCAGACTCGATCACAGCGGGCTTATAAGCTGTATCATGGCATCAGTGAGTTCACATCCTGGACGACTAGTACATTAACGCACGACGAGTCTTTGTTGCAGGGGCCGTCGGAGGCTTCTCCGCAGCATTGCCGACTGGTCGTGGTAGGGTCAGTACGTGATTTGAAGGTAATTTTATCCTTACCTTTCTTGGTCTTTTTGGTCTGGTTTGCGTCTGTGGGCGCCATCAAGGACCCCGCACGCTTCCGGCCCTGGGTTTGCGAAGACTGTCTGGCCTGGATCCATACTGCCACGACCATGTAAATGTGCATTAGCCAAGGCCACTGGCTTTCCGTTAGATGTCGCCAATAGGCACATACTGCGATTCTCAGCTGCTTTTCTTTTGGCATCACGAGGAACTACAGTAAGCTGGTGAGTCTGCTGTGTGTTATGGGATGAGGTTGTAAGGATATGCACCCGCGCTCGCTACCGTATTCGGCCAGTAGATTCCTTATTCAGCTACTCGCTACTATATTCGGACTCTAAGCTATACGGCTCCTTCGGAGTCTTCGAGTTAATCCTCTTCGCATTCATTTCGTCTCTTCTCGTATTCTTCTATTTTCTGTCTCTATCTCTTCTATTCGGTACATGTAATCTCGTAGTATAAAAGCCCAGCCCATGTACCTCATACCTAGGTCTTTTTCGAACACGAATCTCTTGCTACTCATCCCTGTGAGAGACTCGAACGTTGAAGACTTTCCGTGGTGTCGCTTATCTAATCAACGACCTCACATTTTTTTGAGTCGTTTTTTTCTATTTCTATTCGTGTTTAACGCAGACGGACTGATCACCCGTTTGTTGTCATAGCGCGCGTAGTCACCGGTGCACTTCTCGTCGACGAACTTATCAACTTCCGGAAATGGTTACAACCAGAACGCGTACGTATGCAGCTGTAGCCAGCTCACCTCGGACTCCCAAA